TGAAAAATGATGGAAGGGCATGGGGAAAGAGGAGGAGGGAAATTCTGGTGTGCATGTGCTAAAAGCCTAAGCGTTCATGACTGGAAAGTCATCATGAGGGCTCATGACCATTAGAAACAGATGCAAAGACTTGTATAACTGGCAGACAGGAAAAGGGAGATTTCTGAATAACAGAACAGCAGTTGCATGTGGAGACTTATTCCAGCTTCTACATACTGTTACAGGGCATGAAACCTACTTAGAGTACTGAAAATTGACCTCAAACTCCATTGCTTGTGAGCTGTATTACTTCAGTCCAGTGACTCAGTTTTTCTATGCCTCTGTTTTCCCATCGGGAAAAACAGAGATGGAGATTGAAGTAGGTCAGTGATGCTGAACCTTTTAGAGCTTTCAATGATACAAACAGCCCACTGTGGCACACATACCATAAGTTTGCCACCACTGAATTAGCTAATACCTGCAAATCAGCCCAGGGCCAGCATGCATTGAAATGAACAGTTACAGTTATTGCTCATGTGTCAAGCCAAATCTTAGTTGATTGTCCTAATCATTCACATACTGCAGAACCATCTCAAGAATCTACTCCTTAGCCTCTAAGAGACGCTGTTAGATTTAGAAGGAACAAAGACCAAGAACTTTGTTTAAATCTCTGCAGACATGATATTTCCAATAATGCAGGTCTGGGGAGATGGCTCAGCGGCATAAGCATCTGCCTGGCCAGCACAAGGTCCTGAGTTCAATCCATGGCACCACAAAACAAAAGGGATAATTCCAATAATATGGAGTGGACTGACAGGAAATTAAGTGCCACTCCTAATTAAGAAAAACAAACTTGTGTAAGGAATTTTTCTGAGAGATAATAGCATGAAGATGCAGGAGTCATTCCATGTGTGCTAGCATCTATTAGCATACATAGAATATAGGAATATATGTAATACATATAGATACATACAGTGTGTATGGAGAAGACAGAGTATTAGGGTATATATTAAAGCATATATAGAATGTGTGTGTGTGTGTGTGTGTGTGTGTGTAATCTGTATTACATATAGAATACGTGTAGGGCGAGAGGGAAGGAGGGACTGACTTTTGTAATCAAACATGCTAAGCAGTTCATGTCTTTGGGACCTTAGTATCTGTCACTCCCTCTGCCTAGATGTCTCTCTTCTCAACATATTGCAGGGTAAATTATTTTCTTTTGCCTCTGAATTCCAACTTCATGTCATTTCCATCTCTCATTCATCACCTTTAGTAAATACCATCCCAGCCACCATTGTTCTCTGTTATCTCTTATAGCAATTATTTTTCTGCCAACTTAAAAAAGGCAGCCTCTACTAGAATATCGAGTTTGGTGGTATAAGTAACGGCTCAGGCTTTTCCACATACGCTTAACCTACAGTTATAAGATCTGTAGTTTTTAAGTAGCAAGTGCTCAATAAATGCACATGATTTCTAGTTTGGGAGAGTCTTTTAATTATGGAAATTTAATTTTTTTCACAAATATAGCTACACACAATTTATAAATTTCTCTGTTCTCATCTAAGAGTTGAATCTAACATACTAGTTTATAAAATTATCCTACAGGGATGATGTTGTGAAGATTCATTACAGTCACCTCTGTTGCTACATATTCTGACATTTAGCCAAACAATATCCAATCATATTTCAGCTATTGACTATTATATTAATTTGAATGGTAATTACATGACATTTGCAAATGAAAGTAGACAGTATTTGTGAAGATGTGCTACATCGCAACACTGTACACCATTTTTTTCAATTTTTATAGTTCAGATATCTCATTATCTGAATAATTTGTAATCTTGTTTACAAAAAAATTAAGCAAAGAATTAAGTTAAGATTTCTAAATCAATTTAGATAGTTCCCCAGGATAAATATTAAATCTTTCAACTGAGAAAAAGATGACAATATGAAAAGAAAACAAAAGAATGATCCCCCACCCCAACAGATATACTCCCTGTTTCTCATCCATTTCCCCCTATTCTACAACAGTGTGGGCCTGACCAACGTGGTGGTGTAATGTCATGACATAAGGTCAGGTCCAGGGAAAAGAGTTGGAGTCAAATTTGCCATTGATACCCATAGTGCTACGCCGGAGGAGGTAGTCTGGAGTCTTGAAATTGAAGGGATGTAGTTCTGTGGTAATCACAGTGTCTTCAGGATAGGACTTGATGCTGACAGGGTTCAAGAGCATTGTTTTAGATTTCCTACCAAGGTTTCCTGCCAGAATAAATGAATGGCACAATTTTGGACCGCAGATGCCATTCTTATATAGGATTATAGTTCATATGTTTTTGGCTTTTACAAACACTCTCAAGCAAGCTGGTGCTGGCAATGTATATATCTGTGGGACAGTAGAATACTGCATCAAAAAGTAAACTTTACAAATGCAAAAAATGTTAAACAAAAAGTTAAAGGAGAAAGGTGGATGCTTTTTTTTTTTTTGAAAAACTTTGACTTAAAAATACAAACGGAAACTGAAGAGTAGATAAAAGAACAGAAGTTAATCAGATTAAACTAGGTTTTCTTATAAGCAGAGAACACATATTTAGAGTGAGAATTCTGAGGACAAAGTTTAAAATCCTGGCATGAACACCTGACAGATATTAAGCTCAGGCTGATTTTGGAGCTGTCAGATTAGCAGCATGAAGGTTCAGACGCAGAAAAGGAGCTAAGGGTAGGCAAAGATCAGCTCACACATCTGCAGGAATGGCCAGACCAGGGCCACATCTTGTAAGGAACCTGTTCAGAATCAAGGGCATGATGGCCAGCTGTTCCTGACCAAAGACTACTTGAAGCACAATGACCCAGAAAGTCCATATGGTGCTAAAGGCAAAAGCTTAATTAGAAATATCACTTCTAACTGCATAAATCTGCACTCCCAGGAGGAAGGAGATTAATTGTGCATAGTAGAAGGGTGACTTTCAAAAGTGCAACAACTCTGGAGACTTAAAATATTCCACTTTTCAACAACGACTATCTTTGTCTAGGAGAATTTAAAGTGATGGCTATTTATGTCTCTCTCTTTGACAATGGGTACGAATGTCTTCTTTGATGAAAAATATTTTCTATTTTAGTACAGTAAACAATATTTTACTAGTACAGTAAACAATGTACTAGTACAGATACAAAAATGAAAGTAATCTGGCTCCTTCAATAAACTAAAGATCAATTCCTAGTCCTATCTCATTACAAAATTGTCAGATATTAGTAAGTTGCTACCAATATTCAAAAGATCATTCCCATAGTTAGTAAAAAAATTTTGTTTAAAATTGCTCGATTGGGGCCGGGGAGATGGCTCAGTAGAATAAGTGCTTGCCTGGCAAGCACAAGGGCCTGAGTTCAATCCCCAGTTCTGAAAAAAAAAAAAAAACAAAACCTGCTCAATTATTTAAAGCTGGAAATCAGTTTCAAAAAGGATTATGACTGTAAAGGCTACAGCTGATCATCAGCAAAGAGGTTTTTGCATCTCATTTTGCTTAGAAGGGAACAAGATAGCTCAAACTTGGGCATGATGTACTTTCTCTGGTCACTTCCTGTCATTGTGGGCTTCCTCAATGACAGAAACTGTGTCTTCACCAAAGTGTGACCTGAACCTGGATTTTTAAATGCCAGCACCAGTGGCAATGAGGACTGAGGCCTTCTGTGGGCTGTAATTGTGTGTCTTGGTCATTTTCTGTTACACTACTGCTGCTGTAAGAAGTTCTCCGGGAAGACTAGGAATCACCTACCATCTGCAGCTGTGTTGCAGGACTCTTTTGCCACTTTGAAATTTTGCTTGAGCAGAGTATTGCCATGCATGTGTATCCCCTGGACATTTTACATTTACTTCCTAACAAGATCAACTTAGTAGCATGTGTCACAATATTAAATCGAAGCACAATCTTGAACTCTGATTGTGAAGGCCCTATCTTATATATTTTCTAGCATTTAGGTTATGAAGATTGGGATTAGCCTAGAGTCAAAAGGAGAGAAGAGCAAACAAAGAAGGAAGTGTAAAATGTTCTTATTAACATCTTTCTTTTATTTGCACGAGGCTTTACCAAATAATATCCCACCATAGTCAAGGTGCAGTTTGTTTTGTCATTTATGTCCAAGACACCTGGGGTTTTACATTTCTCCAAGAATATATTTCAAAATTGCATTTCTGCCCCACAGGAAGTTAGCAAGTTGACTATCTTTCTCAAGCTCATTGTCACCTTATCTACAAGAAGCATTTGGATTCAATTACGTTAGTCTGTGGATCTTGACACAACCAAATCAATCAACCTAGCTTTCAAATTTCTTCCTAAGTATTGTTATAACAATTCATTCAGTTATTGATCCTGTTGGCTTATTTCCAATGGTGGTTTCTCAGTTGGAGATGATGCAGCTCAAAGTCCTTGGGGGTTCAGTTAAATTCATTTCTAGAAGGAACTGTGATTACTTGCAAACTCTCATTAAATGCCAGATGTCCCTTTTGCCTCTGGTTTGAAAAAGCCTGTAGCAATACAGAGCAGTATTATACTATGTTGGGTGGGCACTATTTGAATTTTGTTGTCTGATATTGTCTAGAGTATTTATTATCTGTGATTGCCCTCATAGCACGAGGTACACTTTCAGTGGCAGGTAATGGAAAAGGATTGCTGAAAGAAGGGATTACATCCATGCTTTGTCTCTGAGAGCTCATCTGAAACAGAAACCCAGAAACCCAGCCAGGTGCTGGTTACGGGAGCCCAGGGGCCTTTCCAGCTGTTCACACTTGGGATGTAAAATGGCATTTGACATAGAGGATCAGTGTGATGTGAGCGTCTGCGTAAAAAGGCTACATATGGAGCATGCCCAGTGCAGGGGCTACGTTCTCCTCCCTCCCCCGCCCTTTCCAGATCTCCAGAGATAAGGCTTGAACTTTGCACTTGCAAATGTCACTGCCTACGTTTTTAGTTTGTCTTCTGGGTTTTTTTAACTAGTTTTTTTAAAGGTCCTCTTACAACTGATTTATTTGAACAATTCAAGAGCAGGAAAGAGAACACTTAGCGTAATAAAATGCATTAAGTTTAGAACAGTAGCTGCTGCCTGCCGCCGGCCTTTGAATGCACTTGGAGTGTGGTTCTGAAAGCGGTAACAAGCGTTCGAGGGCGTGCTTTCACCCACCGCCTCACCGGAGAATCCGAATCTCCTCGGATGGGAGCCTGCTGGGGCAAGGAGTGAGAGCCTCGCGGGCAGACAGGGACGCAGAAGAGGGGCTGACCTGGAGCATGGAGAGGAAAGGAGCTGGGATTTTCCAGGGCTCGGCGCGCACTGAGACTCCGTGCCCGGGGCTGCAGCTGCGGAGGATAACGGCGCTATCTGGCTCATGAAGGCCACCTGGTTCAGGCTTCTGAAAAGAGCCAAGGGAGGAAGGCTGAAGAATTCCGATATCTGTGTAAGCGCCGGGGCTGACGAGGCGGGAGACGCTGCTTGCTTTGCTTTTCGGTTGCAGGAAGGGTGTTTTGCTCGAGTTAAACGCTTAAGGCTGCAAGAGAGGGAGGAGAGAGATCCTTATCTTTTTCTTAATTTTTTTTATTAGCTTTTCTCGCGTTGTGATTTATTGCCAGAGGAGATATCACAGGCAGGTGCTTTCAGTGGACCGCTCTTATTGAATTATCTACGGCAAAGTGTTTTGAAATGTGGCGCTGGAAGAGGGAGTGAAGGTAGCTAGCTGCCAGCGTCTCGGTTTTGTTGGAGGCGGCGGCAGGTGTAGAGAAAGGTACAAGAGGTTCTCAGGATTGCAATGGGAGTCGTCGTGGAAGCGATATTTTGGAAAGTTCAAGTCTGTAACTCATGAGATTGACTCCTGTGTATTGTGTGAGGCTTCAGAATCGAGTTGCAAGTATTCCCTTTAGCGTGAGTGAAGGTTGTTCTTGAAGCTACCCTTGAAAGCCAGCAGCCCTGCAGCTCTGCACTGCAGCACCAGTGGGTGAACTGTAAAGCAACTTGTCCCGGCTCCCAGAAAGCTTCGATTTGGAAATCTGAAGGTTGGGAAGGAATGGCAACTCGGTAAGGGCCGTTACCTAGTGAACGGTCTGCAAAGCAAAGCCTGCTTTTTTTTTTTTTTTAAGGTGGGTTGCTGCAACATATTCCCGCTTTTCAGGAATTTTTAGCATAATCCAGGAAGCCAACTGCCACTTCAATCAGACTTTTCTCATGCAAACATCATAGATTGGATCTATTTTTAAAAAGACATACTTTCCTCTCCAGGGTTCGGCAGACTCCTACACCAGCCGCCCATCCGATTCCGATGTGTCTCTGGAGGAGGACCGCGAGGCAGTGCGCAGGGAGGCCGAGCGACAGGCGCAGGCCCAGCTGGACAAAGCGAAGGTAAAGCTGCCCCTTCCTGGCCTTAACCTTGCTTTCCAGGTTTTGTTCTCCCAGAATGGACAGGGATGACCTGTGGAAGTTCCTCCTGCAGCTTGCGTTTGCTGCAGGAGTGTCCCACCGTGAGGGTGTGCAGTGGTACAACTCATAGACTACATTTTCACCTTTCGGTAGAAAAAGAAGAATGATAGGCAAACAATGGTCTCTCCTTTTATGCTGTTGTGCGATCCATGCAACTCGTTTCCCTGGGTGGGTTGTTGATTTAGACACACCCAAAAAGAATCTCTAAGTATACAGGAGAAACTACATCATATATCAAAACATTGTACTTTTTTTTTTTTCCAGTAAACAAATCTCTAGGAAAAAAAAAAAAAACTTTCCTCAAGCTAATTATTTTCTGTCTTGAGCAATCTTTCTCCCACATTTACTTTAGATTTTTATATTTAAAAGATGTATTGTGTTCTGTTTTTGAAAAATAAAACAACAAAGCACTTTATTAATTAAAACAGTCCTTCCCCTTGGAACATTTTCTTCTTCACCCATTATAGTGAAGAGTGTATCTATCTGTAAGTAGAAAGAAGATGCAAAATGTAAAGAATTTACCTCAAGCTGCATGTCTTTTTGCTAGGAAATGATGATTTGAATCGCTGGTTTGGAGCCCTTTTCCAGGGATTTGAATCACAGCTATTTTTAAAACATAGATTGTTGTCTAAGTTTAAAGTACCTTAGTTTGTGTGATTCTCTGTAGCTTCTGAGTGAACATATTTTAACTTGGTGGTTGGTTTCCTTTTGGAAAAAAAGATGATGGCTTTGCAAAAGAGGAGGTATTGTGTTGATCTTGCTAGGAAAATTAGGGTAGCAATGCAACAATTCTCAGAGCCACTGCATCTCTGAAAGGAGCAAAACCTATATGTGTTGCTATGGCAATGGTAGGGTAGCGGGGAGGTTCTGGTTTGAGTCCATGGGCAGCTTTATGTAATATTCATAAGCGTAAGCACAGCTGCCATAGCAGTTGACTTGAGCTACTAGGAGACCTGGAATTCTACAAAGCAGAATTTCTGGATATCAAGATAATAGTCTCACCTTGGCTGGCAGGGAAACCACCTCCAGGTCTGGCAGCTGTAATCCACCCAGCTAGAGTGGGGAAGGTTTGTGACAGTGGAAAACTGATAAAGCAAGGTGTGGTCCAGTTGCCATCAACCCATCTGCTCTGCCAAAATTAGCCATTTGAACACTATGAAGAGGAACTTAAATAATAGCATTCAGTAATGAACCTTGATGAATTGCTGGGCCTTGACACTGGAGCTGACATATGAAAATCCAAATTCTATTTCCTATATTTTGCTTCTGTGTGTAAAGAAAAATCAAGGGGAAAAATGTAACAGTTGATAGTTCAGAAATAAGATTGTTCCATATGCATCTAATTTATTCATGTAATTTTCACAAACCAAAATTAAACAGTTTATCAGATTCACATTTCATCATCATGTGACCCAGTGCAATGTAGGTTTGGTGTTCAGAAACTTTCCTTATCTTATTGGGGCATTTTTTTGTCCATAACTGCATGCTAGAGATCTTGAATCAAGTGAAATAGCTGCAGTTAAATCCTTCATCCAAGCATGAATCAAAACATTGGTCCTGAATCAACCAAGTTCGTGTCACTTGTCACACTGCCTTAAAAGTATCTAGTTACAAATGATATGGAAGGTGGAAAAAGATAATTTAAAATGAAGGTGAAATCACTGAAATATAACTGATGAAAATAATTCCTTTACATCCATTTTTCTTTATAATTAGTTCAGTATCCAGCTGCTCTGGGGTGAGAGCTTGAAAGTACTCTGAGAGAAGATAAAAAGGGTCAGGATTTAAGTTAACTCTGCTGAGGCAGGGGATATAGCTTAGCAGTATAAAGTACCTGCCTGGCAATTGCAAGATCTTCAGTTTAGTTTCTAGTACCAAAAAAAAATAAGTTAACTTTGTTAAAGTCAGTTTAGTACATTTGGTTTATTAATCCAAATACCCTTGAGGAAAGACAGCAAAGAAACAGTTGCAAATGTCTAGGTGTTCCTAGGGTTATTTGTATCTGTTTTCCTTCCCTGTAGGTATATTTTCTTGCCTTGGGAGACCTTATTTCAAACTGAAGCCTTAATAATTAAAAATATATGAATTTATTATGTAACTTTAAGTAGTCTAAATACTTTGCATGTCCACTTTGGAAGAATCTAATATTCTCCGCTTTGATTTTGTTATCTCTCTCCCATAGAAAGGCTCCACAAGTATCAGTACTTACCCTGAAGACCCCACATTTTAAGTGTTTGTAGAAGCCTACGAAAAACCTCAGCTGGGCTTTCAGAGCCTGGGCCTATATAAAGATGAACTACATTATCCACTAATTGCATGAATCAGACCTCTAGGAATCAGGTAATTGGCAAGTGGTAGGACTAGAGACACTGCCTTTGGAAATTAAGTGACCTACAAAGGGTTATATAACAAGGCCCCCTGTGCTGCCTATAAACGCTGCGCTCATCCCAGGTCATGGTGGCTTCCCTTAAACTAGCACACACTATAAGGAACAGATTTGCTGGTAATTTTGAGGCAAATAAAGATCAACTAATTTGATCTTGTTTTGTAACTTGATACTTTTGATCCCAAATTTGTGGTTTGATCTTGCACTCTTTGGGTACTTTCTGAAATTCCTGCCCTGTTTTCATTGATGGTCTTTGATATTGCTTTAAAGATAAGTAATATACAGATTTAATTGATGCTCACAATGATCTTTTCTTTAAAAATGACTTTACTAAGCTATAATTCCCTCATTCAAAGTAAATAATTTAGTGGTTTTTAATATATGCAGAATTGTTATACAACCATGACTATAATCAATTTTAGGACATTTCCTTGCCCCAAAAAGAAATCCCAAACCCACTAGTCACCACTCCCCATTTGTCCTAATCCTCTCAGCCCTAGAAAACTGCTGATTGATTTTGTCTTTAAATTTATGTATTTTGGACATTGCACATAAAAGAAACAATATGATAGGTGGTCTTCTGTGAACAGCTACTTTCAGTTACGCAGTGTTTTCAATGTCTATTCTTACTACAGCATACAGAAGCAGTTTGCCAGATAATATTCTGCTGTGTAGCCAGGTGTGGTACATGTCTATAATTCTAGCCCTTGGGAAGCTGAGGCAGGAGGATCATTTTGAATTCAAAGCAATCCTGGGCTACAAAGTGAGTTCAAAGCCAGCCTTTGAACTAGTGAGAACTTGTCTCAAAAAAGAAAAAATGCCACAGTGTGTATATTCTGTCATGGACCAGGTTGTGTAAGGATTAAGTTGCTGACCACAGTGCTCGATGGCGGTGTCAGACAGAGCTCGTATTCACAGCCTCTGAAGGCAAGAAGAGACTGCACCTGAGGATGTTTGGCTCTCACTCCTATTCCAGGGAAATAACTGCCAACTTTAAAGATAAAACTTCTCTTAACTAGCAAGATCGACTGCCTAGAATGTCTAGCTTCTCAAGGCCTGTTCATTTTCATGGACTTTTCCCCAGATATGCCTTCCTTTTCCCACGCTCCCCTGAGTTGTTAAGGACCCAGTACATACAAGCAGTCCAGAGAAGTCTTTGTCTTAGCTCTGAGACTTCTGAATTTCCTAGATCACCTCCCCAGCAAAAAGAAATATTGCTTTTTGCCTATATTTAATTGTTTTCCATAAACTCACCTGTAAGATCAGAAGCCTGGCAGCTCTTGATAGTATTCCACATCTTTCTATATGCTTATCAGCTGGTGGACATTTAAGTTTCTGATTTTTTAGGTGTTGTGAATAATGCTGTTATGTGCATTTGTGCCCAAAATTTTATGAGCATATATTGTCATTTCTCATGGGTATAAAACTAGGAGTGAAACTTTTGTGTTATGAGTCATCTTTATTTTCTTTTTCTTTTCTTTCTTTCTTTTTTTTTTGAACCAGGAATTGAACTCAGGCCCTTGCACTTACCAGGCAAGCGCTTATTCTACTGAGCTATCTCCCTGGCCCCAATCCTCTTTCTTTTAATGGAAAAAATAATTTTCTTCTTTACTATCTTCTCAAAAGTAGTGTTTCCTGCCCGTCTAGAGAGAGAGTTTGGAAATCTGCATGTGATAGAGATTGAAGTAGAGCTATTATAGATTAAGTACGATGTGCTCAGCAAAGGGATTAAGATTACATGTAGAGCTCACTATTCTTATGGCTAAGTGTCTACTCTATGAAAGAAACTGTACTTGGCACAGTTGGGGAAGAAGAAGCATGGGGCCAGGGCCACAGAGAAGAAATGGGCAGGTTTTTCACCTACATGTGAAACCTTCCAGAAATAGAGGCACATTTTTTTGAGATCTTGCTAGAAATATCTTTAGTCCACCCTTTATTCATCCCTCACATTCTAACCTCACTAGTTTGGATATAATTTTCAAGAATAAAATCACATTTTCTGTTAGGTTTCTAAAGATCCTCTGTGTGTTTTGCCTTTAAATATGGCTTTAATTTTTATAACTTTCTCTCACATTTTGTGAAGTGTTCTTCCTTTAGTATTTTGACATTTTGGCATGTATACCTTGGTTTGGATCTTTTGGCTAATTGCCCTTGGCTCATCATACATTCATTGTGAAAGGCTGGTCATTTCAATTGTTGAAGTTATCTGTTTTTCTTTCATAATTTCTTCACCTATTTTTTTCTGGTTCTGTAGTTTGTCAGATGTTTGACAGAGTTCTTCTATAATGATTATCCCTTTTTCCTGAGTTTTTTCAACTGATCATCTAACCTGTCTATTGAAAGATTTTATTTCTGTCAAAATGCCTAGTTTCCAATAGCTAGAAAACTAGTTCAAGGAAGTTAGCTAAATGCTTGCTCATTTCCAACAGTATAGAGTTGTTTATTGTTCAAAGACCATTGCCTTAGATTGCATTTTCCTCATTGTAAGAAAAGTTGTATGAAACCCCCTAGACATCAGCTGGTCGTCTGCATTAAT